ACAGGGATGTAAGGCCAGGTCATAGTCCTGGAGTGAGCCACAGGGGAACAGGGACCCTGGTCACAGTTCCAGGACAGAAAAGAGTGCTTAAAGTTGCTCACAGACCAAAGCACAGGCCAAAACAGCAGTGACTCTCTTTAGATCATACCACCTTGGAAGAACCAAAAACATACAGACCCCCAAAACTAGCTTTGAAAACAGAAGCACAAAAAAACTGAAGTTTTTGACAGTGCCCCCTCACCCCTAGGAGCAGAGCTCAACTTTAACATAAAGTTAAAAGTCAAGAAATAGGCTGTAAAAAAAAACGAGCCAAAAAAAACCAAAACAAAACAAAACAAAAAAAAAGACTGTGACCATAGAAAGTTATTATGATGGCAGGGAAGATCAAAACACAAACTCAGAATAGGACAACAATGTCAAAACAGCTACATGAAAAGCTTCAAAGAAAAATGTGAATTGGTTTCCAGCCATTTGCTGGAATAGCTCAAAAAATATTTTAAAAATAAAGTAAGAAGAAAAATTGGGAAAAGAAATGAAAGTGATGCAAGAGAATCATGACAAAAAAGTCAACAGCTTGGTAAAGGAAGCACAAAAATGGAAAACGATGTACAAAAATTCACTGAAGAAATCAACTCCTTAAAAAGTATAATTGGTCAAATGGAAAAGGAGGTACAAAAGCTCACTGAAGAAAATAATTCCTTAAAAATAAGAATTGGGCAAGTGAAAGTCAAGACTTCATGAGACATCAAGAAACAATAAAACAAAATTTAAAAATCTGAGGCAGCACTAAACCCATTTCCTCTTTTGAAACATGAACCAATCAAGATTGTCTTTCTATTATACGGAAATTGCTTACTCCTATCTTTGAAAAGCAGAATACAGATTGAATCAAGGCCAGTCCCTCATGCTGCCTTGGTGTGTTAGTAAATTCCTTCTGTCTTATTTCTTGAGTTTGTCTTAACTGACCAGGGTGAGGCTCTAACATAGATTTCCTTCAACAACTTCATATTTATAATTAGTTTTGTATTTCTTCCTTCTCACTAGGAGTAGGAGGGAGGGGAGGAAAAAATCTGGAACTAAAAATAAAATTGAATGGAAAAAAGAATTCAATTTGAAGGGCTGTCATATGGAAAAGGGATTAAATTTGTTCTGCTTGGCTTTTAAAAAGAAGGAAGAGAAGAAAAGAGGAAGGGAGGAAGGGAGAGGGGAAAGGAAGGAAGGAGAAAAGAAAGGGAATAAAGGAAAAGAGGAAGGAAGGAAGAGAGGAAAAACCTTTCTTTGTAACAAGTAAGTATAGTTGAGCAAAACAAATACATTCTTGGTCTTAACCTAAACATTTATGTCTCATTCTGAGAACTTCTAGTCCAGTGGTTCTCAAATTCTGGGATCTTAGGACCCCTTATCATTATTGAGCCCCTCAAAGAGCTTTTCTTTAGGTATATCATCAATATTTACAGTACTGGAAATGAAAAATCTTAGTAATATTATGAAAATAGTTTTGACCTCACAAACCTCCTGAAAAGATCTTGGGGACTCCCAGGGGTTCCAGAACCACACTTTGAAAACAGTTGCTTTAGTCCATCATCTCTCTGCCAAGAGGTCAGTACCAAACACTTTTGGTGATTATTTATTTACGATATAATTTGAAGTTTGGAACTGCTCACCTCCCCACCCACACTCACTCCCTACTCCCTGGGATTCTATACCATTTTTTTGGCTTTTGTTAACTCAGTATTCAGTATTGGCTCTCTTTCACATTTGCCATAGTAGCTATTCGAAACCTTCTTTTCTTTCCTGAAACCCCCAAATCCACACCCTGTCCTCTTCCTCTCAGATGGTCTCACTTCTTACTTTACAGATAAATTTAAGACCGTTCAAAGTGAACTCCCTTAACTTCCTTCCTCCATTCCTTTACAATGTTCAGGGTCCTCACTTATCCATTCCCTTCTATCTGTTCTGTGGATCCTGTTTCAACAATCTGATGTCTCTCATGCATTTTCAATCTCTCCCTCTCTGCTTGGCTCCTTTCCCTCAATTTACAAACATATTCAGGTCTCTTCAAGCCAAAAAGAGATTATCTAAATCTAATTATCCTTTTGATATTCCTTTGACCATACCAACCCCTCCAGTTTTCTTCCTTGTATCTTTCCTATACTTTGCTGCCATTTTTTTTTTAGAAAGAGTAATCTACAATTGCTTCTTCATGTCCTCACCACCTATTCAATCCTCAGTCCTATATAACAAGGTTTTTGTTCCTCTAATGAAGCAATTCTGTCAAAATCCTTTTCCTACTCCCCCAACTGCTCAATTTATTTTGATGGCAGCATGGTATCATAAGTAGATCACTGTTCTTGAAATCAAAGGACCTGGGTCTGATATTTTGAATCTAACACAATCTCTGTGGGCAAATCAATTAACCTCTTTGAGTTTCATCATTTATAAAATGAGCTTATTAATACTTTACCTAGGTCACTGGATTGCACTTAGGTATCAAGGTCCTTATGATTAAAGTATTTTTGCAAGAGCAATGTTTAATTTTTTTGTTTGGGAGTTTCTTGGTGCAGATCAGGGATTTCATTAGCTTAGAATTCCTGGTAATGAAACTACTTCTACCAATGCACTTTCTCTGTAAAACCTATCCTCTTAGAGAATTACCTTTTAAATTGAAAATGCTACAGAAAGGGGGCTTTAATGCTGAAATACTGGAAGGATCTGCAATAAGGAATTCCTTTCATCTATGTAGGGAATTCTCTCCACTTCTCTAGAGAACAACCCCTCAATAACTTAGTAAACACCTCTCTTTTTGCTTGTATTTGTATTACTGGAACAAAACTAGAAATTTGTATTCCTTAACCCAAAGTCAGGCACACTTCATAAATGCCCTTCCTTTGGCTTGCTAGAAAACTTATAGGAGACCCTAATTTGAAGTTTGTTGCCATCCCTGCTCTTGCACCTCCAGAGGTTGTCATGGACCCAACACTGGCGGCACTGTATGAGCAGAACTTACAGATTGCTTAGACAACTGAGCTCCCTGATGAAGATAATGACTCGTGAGGAAATTAAGCTAGAGCCCTGCATCAGAGATCTAGTTTATAGCCAACTGTGCTGTATTATCAGTGGGGTAGCATGTTTGCCACCTTATTATATAGCTGAGCAGGACATATGCTTAATCTTTGGGATGCTGAAGGAGATGAATGGGCTTCAGAGTGAATGTGGCAGTTTAAAAAATATACATAATTCATTTTTGGACCTGTGTATTTAGCTGTTTTGGACTGCAATTACATTCTCTGGAGTTTCAAATATAAGACTGCTGCAGTCCCATCACAATATTCAGTGGTGAATTTTGTTTGTTACTGTCATTCCCATTCCTTTATTTTTTAGATCATAATAAAGTTGTATTTCAAATATAAATGAGTGAATGAATAAATAAATAAATAAATAAATGTTTGTTAGCTTGACTTGTAGAAAAGCCTTAATCACTGAATGGGCATTGCCTCAGTCAAACTGAGACCTGTTAAAGACCTGTTTGAAAAGTCCAAGATCCCCCACTGAATCCTGGACCATCTCCAGTTGTCCTGATCTATATCTAACCACTGGACCAAGATGGCTCTGGAGGAAAAAGTGAGGCTGGTGACTTTGCACAGCCCTGCTTCACTTAAATCCAATTCACTTGCATGTCATGCCATCACCTCACTGACATCATGGTCCTCTTCGGGAAGGAAGGACAAACAATAACCACCACCACAAGAGAGCTGTCTAAAGCACTTAGAGGGTGAATAATTTGACCAGAGTCTTAAAGCTATTGTCTTGCCCTCTTCCATTTTCAAGGGCCCTAAACTTCAGCTATTTCTCAACTCCCACTTCATTTTGCTGAAGATCCTCGCTTTTTTTTTTTCAGGGTCCAGTTCCAGTGCCAGCTTCTTCAAGAATCCGACCTGTCTTCCTAAAGGACAGTGATCTTTCCTTCTCAAGTCTCTAATAGCGCTCTTTCCAGCCCTCTTCTTTACACTTATCTCATTTTCACTTGTTCCCCCCATGTCTCTGATTTCCTTGAGAGCAAAAGTCTGAACATATGTCTATTTCCAGCAACTTGCACAGTGCTTGTATGTGACTATCACGCTTTCTTTGATATGACTTGTGTTACAGGGGTATTTATGAAATTTGAAAAGATGTAGAAGGCCTCTAGCAAATTAGGTGCATAGGATTTATGAGAAGGCAAGAATAAGAAATGTACAGTTTGAAAACATGTAGATAGATTGTAATCTCTGCAAAAGTAAGGAGTGTCTATATTGAGGAGCTCAAGGATCTACTTAAGTATGTTCTTGGGGCATGTGACTTGATGGCTGAAATATTAAAATTAATTTAATAATAAAAGTTTTTGCAGCATTATATAGAGGAAAGAGGGATGGATTTGGAGCCAGGGGACATCCATTCCAATCCTGGCATAAATATGGACAAGTCACAGTTTGCAGATGTTGACAAAGTAGAAAAAAGACTTAGAAATCTACAGCCTTAGTTATTGTTTGTGGATCTGGAGAAAAGGTCAATAGCTCTACATTCCTATTTCCAAACTCTTCTTGTATGGATTCCACTTTCTAGTATGGTTCCTCTGTGTCAAAGAAATCAGAGACACACATCGTGGGTTCAAATTGTTAACTGGAGAAGCATTGAGCGACTGACATTGTTGTTATATCCCAAAAGTTCTTTAAAATCCCAATAGTGTAAGATGCTGTCACCTGGTCAGAAAGGGAAGGTTCTGCGGGTCCCGTTTTTGGAGCTGGCTACAGATGGGCAAAGACCTACTTTTTATACAATTTCAATATTTAACTGGTGTTTTGAAGCTTGTAAAGTCTCCCCATAAAAGTGTTATTTACATTGTTAGCCATTAACAAGCACCACGGCCATTTCATTGGAAATTAAATATAAATAAAACCGAGATTAAAAAAATGGGCCTGCTTCCTCATCTATATAAAAAATAAAAGCCGAGGGGGTTGGACTAGATGACACTGACGGGCGGGGTCCTATGGACTTCGAGCCCGGTACCACGTCTCCCTTCCACCGGCCCTCGTTATCAGCCTCCCATTCAGCTGCGGAGTTTGACAGCAGGCAGACGTAACTGGCCCGCAGAGGGGGCTGGCGGGGGAGGGAGGCCTCAGAGGCCGTCTCGCCCAACGCCTTCGTTTTGCATTTGAGGAAACTGAGGCCCGCAGCGGCGGGAAGGGGGTGGGCAGTAGGCCAGCAGGTGGGTGGCTGAAGTCCGCGCGGAGCCCGGGCCGACCCAGTGGAGGGGTCGAAGCGCGCGCTTTGCCTGCACGCCCCGGTCCAGGCAGCAGGGAGTGGAAACAGCCCCCGGGGAGAGGCTCGGGAGCCTCGCTTTGGGCCGGAGGTCACCAACAAGAGAAGAGGCCAGAGTGGTCGCGGCCGCTCCTTCCCGCCATCTCCGCTCTCTATCCCGGAAGCTGACGCTGCGCGGCGGAGCTGGGAGTGTTTGGCTGCGGGGCATCTTTCGGGACTGTTCGCGCTGGGCCTCCAGGAGCGCAGACATGCCTGTGAGTTGTTGACATGGGCCCAGCTGGGCCCTGCGGCTGCCGGCCGCCCACGAGCGCGGGCGGGAGACACGTCCCGACCGGCCCTGGGCTGGAGCCGCTGCCCTTCGGCCCTGCTCCGGGGTGGTCGACCCCGCCCCCTTTATGTATCCGAGTGAGGGGCCATAGAGATCGCACTAATTTTTACTTATGCTGACTGGGGTCCTCGGACCCCCCACGAGCTCCTCTTGCTTTTCCCCACCTCTCAGAAAATCCCTCCCCCCAAAAAAACGCAGAACAATAAAACGACATCTTAGTCCTCTCTCGTTTTTTCCTACCTACGTCAGCCTTCAAGGGCACTTTCTCCTTTCCGCCACGCTAATGAGTTTTGCAGCAGGGCAGGGGGCTTGCTTCACATTCCTAAAGCTTTGATTTTGTGCTACCGCTTTGATTTTTGTCTGCAGTCTAGTAAAGAGGAAGAGATGATTAAAGGTCTGAAAGTAATAATTAGTGCGATGTACTCAAGACTTCACATATGGTTGAAGTCCTGGAGCATTACGTAATGCGAACTAATAATGATGCATGCTTTTTTGTTTTATTCAACAGTTGGCAAGAGATTTAGTGCATCCATCCCTAGAGGATGAAAAGAAGAAACATAAAAAGAAACGCCTGGTTCAGAGTCCAAATTCTTACTTTATGGATGTCAAGTGTCCAGGTAAAACAGGACTTTAGTCTCAGATCTTGATTATTCTACTAATGAAATGAAACCTACCAATAGGAAATGATAGTGTGGTATATGTGAAAACTCCCTAAACTCAGCCTCATGATAGAAAACGTAATTGGAATTTACTAAGCCCTACAGGGGAATTTTCACCAAAAAAGTACCAAAAAGCCTTAGCCAGACCTTTGTGCCTATTTTAGAGAATTTAGGTTGTTAAGGAAAAAAAAAAATTTTTTTTATAACCTGGAAAATCCATTTTGGACTTTTGCTGAATCTTTCAAGCTTTTCACATGGAGAAATTTCATTTTAATGATGAGATGAGAACCATATCTTTTATTGAGTTTAGTAAATATCATTTTGCTTCCCTGTTTCATTTTTGAACAGTGCTGCTTTTTTTTTTTCTTTTTTTAGGCTGCTACAAGATCACCACAGTCTTCAGTCATGCCCAGACAGTGGTTCTTTGTGTAGGTTGCTCAACTGTGTTGTGCCAGCCTACAGGAGGAAAGGCCAGACTCACAGAAGGTATGGTTTGGCATTTTCTAATCCAGATATAAGATTGTCTGAGTATGAGTGTTCTGCTTTTAAAATTTTCAGCATAGAAAATCTCATTAAACATAACTTAGGGCTGCTCAAGGATTCTTCTTCTTATAAAGGGATTGTTCTTTTAAGTGTCTGGATTTTAAGCTAACATTTATAACCTACTAGCCTCAACTTAGAAAGTCTTCTTTTGTGCTTATCCCACATCATTTGTGTAAGTGTTTCACAGATACAGATTGTTAACTACCTGACTTAGTCAGAGAAACTTAGGGCTCAAGTGTTAGCTCTGCCAATTGAAGATTGATCAAGAAGAAGCTAAAGAAATTATAATGTAAGTCAGTGGGAAAATGATTTAATTTACCAACATTTTTTTCAGGAACACCTATGCATAAAGTAAGATACATCTGTATTTTTTTTTTAAGGCCACATTAAAAAAGTAGTCTGTATGTTTGGAATTCAGAGACTTAATATCTTCTATTTTAAATGTCTCAAACATTTTCAGTAAAGTTGCTTTTATAGGTTACCTTCTGAAATGGAACAAAAACAGTTAAGTATGCTTCTATAGATCTTATCCTAAAGTATGAAAGTTTCATTTGTCAAGCAATTGAACATCCAGTACATACTACAGCAAAAATTAAGTTGCTTCCAAAAATATCTGACAGTTACTTTCAGGCTTGCATAGAAATCTAATTATAATTCCTATCTTTTAGTATTATGGTGACAATAAATAATGTTCTAGAATAGCACTTGCACAATGTACGTGGTGCTTGGAAATTACAAGTAGCATTTTAGAAATCTGAGCTCTAACCCCAGTATTGATCTAAATAGAGGAGATCAGTATTATGATCCTAGTTTCTCATTCTTTTGGGGTCTGAATGTTACATATAAGTATTTGAGCTGAAAGGGAAAGAACTATTACTAAATGAAAAGCACCATATTACTGGTCTGATATGTTCTCAAAATAAAGGCAGTATAGCACAGTGGAAAGAGCTGGCCTTAGAGCTAAGAAGGTCTGGGTTCCAGTTCTGCTTCTTGACACTCTAGGCAACTCTGTGTTTCAGAAAAAGTGCCAGCTTGCATTGGTAAAGTGAGTTGCCTCATTTAGGAGTTCCTTATATCATTAAAATCACAAGTCCAGTCATGTTCTTTGTGTTTAAAAATTTTTTAAAGTCTGGAGACTTTTCTAAGTTTTCTGGAGAAAGTTTATCACAACTCCTAACAGATCTAAAGGGGTAATTCTTATTTACTGAAATGCTTTAAGTGGATTTTTTTTTTTTTTTACAAGTTAGGGCTGAATAGGAAGGAACTCTATTCAAAGGGACTTTGGACAATACTATAAATCTATCCCTGGAGATAAGGACCTCAGATTCTGCATAAAGCAGATTCAACCCCATAATTCATGCCAATGGTTTTATATAGTTCTAGGTGCTGAAAACAGAAATGGTAATTACATAAGCAAAAATTATTGAGAATTTTGGGTTAAAAGGTAAATTTTACCTCTATAAAAATTTAATGTTTTTAAGTCTATGACAATATCTGTATCTAAGAAAGAGCTTTTCTGTATCCAAAACTATATTGCACAAGGACAGACTATCCTGTTACTCTTTCATATGCTTTCTTTACAGGTTGCTCATTTAGAAGAAAGCAACATTAATGACATTCAACTTCGTGAATTCAACATAATATATATCTCAGAAAGCCTTATCTGTTCAGCAATGCAAGTTAATCTAATATGTCAGTATAATTAAGTTTGACTTTGTAAGGTATGTAACAGTGGTCTTCTGTTTTGGAGTCTGTTTTACATTAAAATTTTAATTATATGCAACATTCTCTTTGTAATTTTTTTTTGTGTATGATTGTTTTCTCTGTGTGTATATATACTCATAACCACACACAGTTGCTTGATCCCAACATAACCGACAAATGTTCCACTTCCATGATCAAGAATTTTGAAATACTTTTAGTAACCATGAGCTCTACTTAGCATTGCCTTTCTCTCATGCCTCTGAACTTATTCTTCATCCTCAGCCCCTCCACCCTTAAATACTCTCTCAAATCATTACTCTTTCTCTGACTTTTATTTCTTTCCTTTCCCTTTATTGATCCTGTAGTTAACCAGTTCAGTGTTCCTCTGTCTTCTACTCTTTAATCCCTTCTCCCACATCACCCCTTGTTCTATTTCCACAGATGCCTTGCCAAAGTCCATTCCTGGTCCAAATGTCTGTCTTCTCTGTTTCTATTCGTGTCTTTGCAAATGATGCTGACTGTAGTGTACCTAATCTCAACTAGGTCCTCATTGCAGCAAGGCAATCCTAGGCACTATCCTAAGTGCTAGAGGTACAAAGAAAAGTAAAAGGCAGTCCTTGTTCTTCACTTACAGTCTGTGGGGGAGAAAATATGCAGATAAGCATGTACCAATAAGCTACATACAGGATAAATTAGAAATAATCAACAGAGGGAAGGCACTAGTATTAAGGGGGTTCAGGAAAGGCATCCTGAGGAAGATGGGGTTTTAGCTGGGACTTGAAGGAATCCTGGGAAGCCAGGAGGCAAAGATGAAGGAGATCATTTCAGGCATGGAGGACAGTCAGTGAAAATGCCCAGAGGTGAGAGGTAAGAGTGTATTGTAGAAGGAATAACATCACTCACTGGATTACATAGTACATGGTGGGAGGGGGGCTGGTATAAGGTATAAGAAGATGGAAGGGATGGGGCAAGGTTATGAAGGCTTTTGAATGCCAAACTATTTTATATTTGATCTTGGAAGTGATAGGGAGGCACTAGAATTAAGTAGGAGGATAACATGGTCAGACCTTCACTTTAGGAAGATCATTTTGGCAACTGACTGGAAGATGGCCTAGAGTGGGGAGAGACTTGGGACAGGTAGACCATCTACAAACTATTGGAATAGTTCAGGCATGAGGTGATGAGGGCCTGCACTAGGGTTTTGAGAATGTCAGAGATGGGGCCATATATGAAAGATTTTAAGACGGTAAAATTAACAGGCCCTGGCAGCAGACTAGATATGAGGGGTGCAATAGTGAGGAGTTGAGGATGAGACCTAGGTTATGAGCCTAGGTGAATAGGAGGAAGGTGGTGCCCTTGTTAGTCACAGGGAAGTTTGGAAGGGTGTATGGTTTTGGGGAAAAGATAAGTCCTGTTTTGGACCTCAGGTTTGAGATGTCTACTGATTATCTAATTTGAGATGTCAAATAGGACATGTCTAATTAGAGATATAAGACTCGAGGTCAGCAGAGAGATTAGAGTTGTGTAAGTAGATTTGAGAATCATCTGCATTGACATAATCCATGGGAACTGATGTATCATCAAATGAAATAGTATAAAGAAAGAAAAGGGGTCAGGACAGCCCACAGTTGCTGGGGGTCAACTGGATGAATATCCAACAAAGAAGACTGAGGAGTGGTTAGATAGGTAGGAGAAGCAGGAGAGAGTAGGGTCACAAAACTCCAGAGAAAAAATTATCAAGAAGAGGGTGATTTACAATGTCAAAGGCTGTAGAAAGCACAAACATGGAAATGGTGCAATTGTGGGTGATTGTAAGATCAAAGATATGACCATCTCTGTGTGTGGCTGAAGTGGGGTAGAGGAGTAGGTCAAGAGAAATTAGTTGAGATACTGGGAGATTAGGGTATTTGAGGGAGTATCAATATGTATATTGAAATCTAGTAGGAGAGCAGGAGTTGGGCATGTGAGAAAGACTGAACCAGGCACTGAACTCATCGAGGAAAGAAGAGGAATGTACTGGGAGCTGATAGACAATAACTACTAGAATTTTTATTGGGTGGTATGGATTGATTCAATTTCAAAATTGGGAATGATACTGAGTGACGGCGGTCAAGAGAGAATATAGAAGTGGCAGTGGGGAGCTAGGAACATTCCAGCTCCCCACCTCAACCAGAGTGGTGGGTGGGAGGGAAGGAGTAAAAGAGCAGCCAGTGCTAGAATCTTATCCCTTTTCTTCTTTTCATCAACTAAGAAAAAGCTGTTATCTCCACTTCTCAACTCCTTGCAATCTGGCTTCCAACCTAATCACTCAATATAAACTTCTTTCTCCAAACTTACCAGTGAACTCTTAATTCCCAAATATGAAGGCCTTTTCTTGATCTTCATCCTTTTTTACTTCTCTGTAGCATTTGATATTGTTGGCTCCCATCTCCTGGATACTCTCCCTAGATTTTTGTGATACTGCTTTCTCTTGATTTACTTCGTACTGGTGTGTTTGTTCCTCAGTCTTCTTTGCTGGATCATAATTAATATCCCATTACCTGTGAGGGTACACCAAGGGTTTGTCTTGGGTTCTCTTCTCATTTTGCACTCTTGGTGAACTCTTCAGCTAAGATAAGTCCAGTTATCTTTATGCAGATAATTCTTACATATAGATATCTACTTGAGTTGCAATTGTCCTGCATCACCAACTGCCTATTGTATATTTTAAATTGGATGTCTCACAGATCTCAAACTGAACATGTCCAAAACAGAACTCATCTCCTTCTACCCCTCAATCTATCCCTCTTCTGAACTTTGCAGTTTCTGCTCCATTCTTTCAGTTATCCAGTTTTGCAGTGTCAGTAATCCTTACCTCTTCACTACCCATATCTAATCATTTGCTAAGTCCTATCAATTCTGCCCAAGTGATGTTTCCTGCAACCATCACCTTCTTTCCAATCACATGGCACTACCACTCTACTTCAGGTCCTTGTCACCTATTAACTGGACTGGAATAGCTTTAACTGGTTTCCTTGCTCTAATCCATTCTTCACACAGCCACCAAAGTGATATTTCTAAAGCAGAGGTCTGACTGTGTCACATGCCTTCACAATAAACTCTAGTGGCTCCCTGTTACCACTAGGATGAACTACTAACTCTTCTTTTTGTTCTTTATGTGCTGGCTCTGGCTCTAACCTTCTTTTCCCGGCTTCTTATATATTACTTCCTGTTGTCAATACTATGTTCCAGGTAAACTGTTTTTGCTGTTGGACATAAAAATATTACATCTCCCGTCTCTGCCCCTCATGCCTAGAAGCACTCATCTCTGCACTTCCCCTGCAAAGACTATATTTTTCTTCATAGCTCAGCTCAAGTGCCATTTCCAACATGAGACCTTTTCTGAGCTACTAAATGCTCTTCCCTCCAAATTACCCTGTATATATTTTGTAAGCTCCTTGAGAGCAGAGGTGTTTTATTTTTGTTTTTGTATCTCCTACTATTTAGTACTGCAGATGTGTCTGGCATACAGAAGGCACTTAATAAATGGTTAATGATTGGTTTACACACATACACACACATGAACATATATGTACATGTTTTAAATAATTGATTTTCATTAGAACGGACAGTAGTTCAGTAGAATCCCAAAATATTGACTTTATCAATCTTTCCAGAAATTGGTGAGTCAGGTGCTGATACCTTGAGAAATGAGAGTAATCCAGGCATAATATTAAGAAATCCTATACTGGAAGGAGGGACCAGAGATGCTTAAGTGTAAATTTCAGGAGAGTTAGGGAGGAAACACATCACATTTTTTCTATTAAGGGTTACTGTGACAGAAAAATATATTAATCTAGGACCAAGTTAAAAGTAATTAAATTTCTTTCTTTGAAAGAGAAATACAAAAAAACAAAAAACAAAAAACTTCTACAATTTTTTCTAAGAACAAGGAACATTAAGTTATTTAATAAATAGAGCAAATAGAAATAAAAATCATATTTTATATTAAAGTCATATAACATAGAGATACCTTAATTGGGTGGGGGAGAGGAAAGGAAGCAAGGGGGATAAGACAGACAAAATACTCTCTTAGGGTGGCCTCTAGATTAAAGAAGTGGATAAAGATTGCTTGAATATTCTATAAAACACACTTTAAATTCCTACCTAAAATTTGAAAATATGTTCTCAAAATCCTTTTGCACTTTTATGTTTTATTCTCTTGTACTGGAAAGAGGGGTGGTATAATCTAGTCTATAAATAAAAAAGCCTACTTTCTTGAAATAACATCCTCATCTTGTGGTCTTTTGGAATATTACAGAAGATACCTATTAGAGTCAGTTTTTACAAATGTAAGCATTTATCATGGCATGTAGGTAGCCTAGGTTTTTCCTAAGGTTAAACTGGTAGGATATAAATACTGACAAGTTCTTTTTACACTGGAAAGGCTTTGACCATATTGCCAGTGATAGAATATCTGAGGTCAGCTATCTGAGGCTTGGCCTGCAAAGAGCACAAAGAGCCTCACTTTCCATAGGTTGGCCACTATATAATGAATTCTTTGGCTACAATATCTCATGAAACTAAGGAAAATACAGAATAGCCCATGGTTTTGTGTAACCCCCTTTAGCTTTTGCAGTGATAGACAGTAGCAGAGTGAAAAAATCACACATTGTTTAGATCACCTATAAATATTAATGTAAATGTTGGTCTGTGAATGCCTATTAACAGCCTTGTCCAATGACCAATGAGTGGACACACTACTGGAGGAACTGAATTCTATCAATTGATATTTTCACCATAAATGAAACCAAAAGACAATAGGAAGTTGTAGCTAAATGCAAAGCTGGGTTACACTTTCTCCTTGGAGAGGCAACTAAAGGTGTTGGTATAATCAGTTTAGAAAACATGGCTCAGGAGCAAGAAATAACAAGTCAAAGGCCAATGGACTGTACAGAAGTCCAGGGGAAATAGAAATATCGCTTCAAGAGACAATATAGTGTAGTGGATAGAAAGCTAACTTTGGAGTCAGAAGATTTGGGTTAAGTCTGGCCTCAAACACATACTGGCTATATGACTGATGGGCAAGTTATTTAACTTCT